GAGGGGCAGGAGTGAGCAGCTGACACTGTGCTGTGGATAGGCGCCCAAAGACCAGGGCCGGGACAAGCTGACCCTCTGCGTGGGGCGACTGGCAGCCACATGAAAAACCTGACTTCGGAGAACAGTGCTCAGTGGTGTCAAAACTCCCTCTCCTCCACAGCATTTATCACCGCAACGACACACATGTTAAAATATCTCTCCTTGATCCATGGCCTTTCATTGCAATTCCAGAATGGAGATACTGAACAGCTGTAGAGCAAATGAAAGGGCCAAGAGGCCCAAGGAAGAAGGTCCTCTCTGCACACAGGGCAAAGGACTGACTCCAAGGAGGGCAGCACGACCCAGCTGAGCCTCAGCCCATGAAAACTCATGTGCGGAGGCCTGAGGCCGCACGCTTCCCATACAGCCCCCCGCCCCCCGCCACATCCCTCCCCCCATTCTCCAGATTGTCTCCAGGCCACCATCAGGGACTGAAGCTTGCATGCCGGTGTGCTATGGACCCTTCACAGCCCGTGGGAGCGGAGAGGACTATTTTCTCCTGTAATGTCCCACTCTCCCTCCTTGCACATTAATGGCTCCTGAAGCTGAGCATGTACTAGGAATGACTGCAGAGCCATTACACTATGGCTTTGGATCCCAGCGTCTGGGTTAGTTAGTGTGTTGGTGTCAGAGCCAAGGACTTGCATTTCTCACACATGTTAAGTGATAAAAGATATGTCCATCTGGCAACCTGCTTCAAGAACCACAGCTTTAGGCCGGGCGCTGGTGACCACATCTGTCATCCTAACTACTCAGGAGGCTGAGATCTGAGGATCGTGGTCCAAAGCCAGTCTAGGTTGGAAAATCGGTGAGTCTTATCTCTGATTAACCACCAAACAGCCAAAGGTGGAGTTGTGGCTCAAGTGGTAGAGTAGCAGTCTTATGTAAAAGCTAGGAGACAAGTCTGGCATTGGTAGCTCATGCCTGTAATCCTAGCTACTCAGGAGACTGAGATCTGAGAATCATGGTTCAAAGCCAGCCTGGGCAAGAAACTCCATGAGACTCTTTTTTTTTTTTTTTGCTTTTTTTTCTTATGTGGTGCTGAGGAATCGAACCCAGGGCCTCATGCATGCAAGGCAAGCGCTCTACCACTGAGCCACCTTCCCAGCCCTCCATGAGACTCTTATCTCCAGTAAACCACTCAGAAAACCAGAAGTGGCGCTGTGGCTCAAGTGGTAGAGTGCTCACCTTGAGCTGAAGAGCTGAGGGCCAATGCCCAGGCCCAGAGTTCAAGCCCCAGGACTGACAAGAAAGAAAGAAAGAAAGAAAAAGAAAGAAAGAAAGAAAGAAAGAAAGAAAGAAAGAAAGAAAGAAAGAAAGAAGGAAAGAAAGACAGCTAGGGGATAGTGTTCAGGCCCTGATTACAAGCCCCAGTACCAACACACACACACACACACACACACACACACACACACGCACGCACACGCACACATACACACACACACACCATTTGTGTGATGCATTTACCTTTGGCCACTGCTACTCCCCTGCAAAGAAACTCTCCATGAATTATAAAATAAGCCGACAGAAAACATGACTTAATTTAAAAACATTTTAAGAAATGTGAAAAGATAACAAAGTAACATTGCAACATTTCCCCCAAAACTGAACTGTAGAGGCCCAAGATAAGAGCGTGGTCCAGGTGGCGCAAGGCAGACACCCAGGGCCATGGAGTCACCACTGAACCTACTTCTAAACTAGACTCACCACGGCCACTCCTTCACGAACTCTGAACCACAAGTACCAGACCCTGCGTAAACACATTATCATATACTCTTCTCCCTCCCGGGCGGGGGGGGGGGGGGGGCGGGCAGTCCAGAGAGTGGGTATTATCCATTTATCAGAAGGAAACAGAGAAGAAACAACCGGCCCCAGGCTATCTAGAGAAATGAGCGAGGCTGAAAAGCCCAGAGCTGTCGGCTCTGTGCTCACCCATCCCCTAGCTTGACCACAGGCTCTGGGGACACAGGCACGGCCTGGCTGCTTCTGTGATGTGGTGCCAGCCAGAGCCCTGGCCCCAGCGCGGCATAGGGTCTGCGAACAGGCTGACGGGGTCTGCAGACGGCCTCAGCCCTGTCCTCCCACCTGGTGTGTGTTTCCCGTAGCTGAGAGCTGGCTCGTCACAGGAGGGGACAAGAGAGCACAACACTCCTACAGCCCTGGCTACCTCACTAGATTCCACGCACACACACCACGTACTGACTCACTTGAGTGCTCCATCCTGGAAATCGGTGCCACTGCTCTGAATAGAGAATGAGGCTCAGAGAGGTTAAGTAACACCTAAAATCACACAGCCAGACTCCAAAGTCTGTTTTCTTTTCTTTTCTTTTTCTGGTTCTGGGGCTTGAACTCAAGATTTCTTGCTCTTGTTTGGCTTTTCCACTCAAGGTGGTGCTCTACTACTTGAGCCACACCACTTAGCTTTTTGCTAATTACTAAAGATAAAAAGTCTCTTAGATTTGTCTTCAAACCACAATTCTCAGATCTCACCCTTCTGAGTAGCTAGGATTATAGACAGGAGCTCCTGGCACCCAACTCTAAGTCTATATTCTCAAAAGCACTACATGTTATAATAATAATAATAACTTTGTTTTTCTTTTTGGTCCGGTCGTGGGGCCTGAACTCTGGGCCTGGGTGCTGTCCCTCAGCTCTTCAGCTCAAGGCTAGTGCTCTACCACTTGAGCCACAGCGCCATTTCCGGCTTTTTTCTTTTTTGCTTATGTGGTGCTGAGGAATCGAACCCAGGGCCTTACACATGCAAGGCAAGCGCTCTACCACTGAGCCACCTTCCCAGCCCTATTATTATTATTATTGTGGCAAGAAGGAAAAGGAATGAAGCATTTCCCGAAGGCTTTATGCTTTAGCTCCTACTGGAGCTCTATCACCCTCTCCGACCACAAGTGTAGACGCAGAGCAGGAGCAGTGGGAGCAGAGGGCAGTGGCACAGCCGCCGCAGGCCTGGTACCCAAAGCATCCCCCTCAGTGCAGGCCTGACCCTAAATCCCTCTCAGGCTTTGTCAACGCGGAGCAGGACCGGAGAGATGAGAGGGCCAGAGACACAAACAGAGGCACAAGGGCTGCAGGCCGGATTGTGTGACCAGTACAGGTACTGTTGCGGTCTTTATTATTGATGACCAAAGCCAGATGGTCTTTTCTGCAGTATCGTGTTACTACACAATCAGCCAGCTAGTCATTTCAGTTCATTAAAAAAAATAAATAAGATAAAGGAAAAGGAAATAGCAGGGCACTAAAAAAAAAACCACAGAATTTTAAGCATGAGGCAAGTGATATTAATAAGTCAAGGGAACATCTGCTTAGTGTAATTGTTACTTCTTAAAATAGTTTCTTTAAAAAGTCTACAATAGTTTGCTTGATTAATAAGTCTATACAATGATTTAAATCCAAAAGTAACAACCTACTAAAATGTATTCCCACACTGATTTGCTCGGTGAGTCAACAATTCTACGGAATTGTAGACAGTATTCAAAACAAATTAAATTTGCTTAGGGATGGAAATGGCGCTCTGGGGGGGCCTGTCTGCTCCTTCCCCCCACCCTCAGCATCCACACCCAGCAGGTCCTCGGGCCCTCTGGGCTCACTCTGCGCCCACAGTAAGCTCCGCAGGGCCAGACCCCACTACCTCTCTGGTGGACTCAGAGAAAACTCACTGTCCTCAGCAAAGGCCAGCCGCACGTCAGCGCTGACGGCAGTACACCCACAGGCCCTGTCGACAGCTTCTTCCTCACTCACAGTGCCCAATACCTTCCCAGCCCACAGTGAGGCCCCAGAGCCCGAGTCTGGGTCTACCTCTGCCACTCCCTAGCTGCAGGGCAGTGTGTGAAGATAACAACAATCCTCTCTTCCTCCTGGGGTTGCTGGAGTTTTAAATAGACTAGAAATACAAACACTCTATCTTGTAAAGCCAGTGCCCAGATATCACATGGTACCAGATCCCCGCATGGACATCAAGTGCCAGTGTGGCCTCAAAGAGAAGGCCACACCTCCTTCCCACTGCCTCCCTGAGGGCCTGTGCCCTGAGGGCCTGTGCACAGATGGGTCTGGAGTACTGCTCCGGAGCACAGGCTCTGCTCTTCCTCTCAGCCCCGGCCAGTGCTGAGGCCTAGCATTTCGTTGGTACTAAAGGCTGTTTACTGAATGACTTGCCAGGGAAGAGAAACCTGAGGCTACAAAGGAAGCAGTTGGGAGCCAACAACGGGCTCCCAAGATGCCAGGGTAGTAGGTTCGGGTCCTAGGAGGCGGCACAGGACTGCCCACGCACAGAGAACACAGCATCTGGCAGCACCCTCCTCTCCGCTGTCATCCCCACACAGGGAGCAAGGCTGGTAGTGGTGATGCTGCTGTGGCCTGGCTTCGTCCTAAGCTCCAGCCCCCAAGCAGACACAACCTAAGAGTGTGCAAGGGAAAGGGTCTGCGGAGGCTGGAGAAGGCCAGCCTGGCCTGGCCTGCCTGTCCCAGAGCAACACGAAGGGAAGGCTAAGACATCCATAGGAATACTTTAATATCAAACATAATAAAAATTTGGCGATGAACACATTTCCAAGTGTCATTGGAAACACTGATTAGTTAATGAAGTTACAAATACTTAAAGCTCAGCTTTGACAACCCATCTTTCGTATATATACATATACATATATATACATATATATATATACATATACATAATACACACACACACACACACACACACACACACACACACACACACACACACACACACACACACACACACACACACACACACACATATATATATAAAGCTGTCAGAATGAAAAGGGCTAAATTCACTCACATTCTGTCCAGACCTGAGTTTTAGGAATGAGACACACAGGAATACAAAGAGGTTCCCCACTCCAAAGCCTCGGCAAAGGTCACCTCCACACGGTCCACCACAAATGCTGACCCCACACACCAGCCGGACGCTGGTTCCCAGCCCAGTATACCTTTTGTATTCTCTTTGAATCTTTCTGAGCATTCTCTCGGAGTGGAACTTTTCCAAATAACTTCCATCCCAAGTCTCTTTGTCTGTCAAATCTTGCATTGTGTTTTCTAGCAAGCAAATTCCTATAGGAAGAAAATAAAAGGGTTAGGGAGCTTCTGGGTGCTTAGAGAAACAGCAGGACAGCTAAGTCACTGATTAAAAAAAAACAAGCAACCTTCCTTTCTGAGGTAGGACACGGTGAGTCACCTACTTGAATTCTTCAGACCTGACTTTCACAGACAGAGAATTAAGCAGCAAGAGAACCAGAAATAAACTTCTTGTTATTCAATGGTTACATGTAAAAATTCCATAATTTAGAATAAGGAAATGTGTTAAATGATAACAAAGTGTATGAGAAAAAGCTAGCCAAATCAAACTGAACTCTGGCTCAACCATTTAACAAGTTGTATGATGCTGTGACAGTTTCCTGTGTTTCCGTGACCCACAAGGTTGTGATACAAATTGAGGTCTCAGGTTCACAGTGTTCACCATCAGACCCTCTACAAGGCAAATGAGATGGTGAGGTGGTGGCTATTACGTCTTCTTTTCTGACAACATGGAAACAAAAAGTCCAACTGGCAGTAGGAATAAGCAATATGGAGATGCAATTTCAACTACAGGCGCAATCAGTGTGTGTGTGTGTGTGTGTGTGTCTGTGTGTGTGTCTGCGTGTGTGTGTGTGTCTGTGTGTGTGTCTGTGTGTGTATGTGTGTGTGTCTGTGTGTGTCTGTGTGTGTGTCTGTGTGTGTATGTGTGTGTCTGTGTGTATGTGTCTGCATGTGTGTGTCTGTGTGTGTGTCTGTGTGTGTGTTTGTGTGTCTGCGTGTCTGTGTGTGTGTCTGTGTGTCTGTGTCTGTGTGTCTGTGTGTCTTTGTGTCTCTGTGTGTGTGTGTCTGCGTGTCTGTGTGTGTATGTGTGTCTGTGTGTGTATGTGTGTGTATGGTGTGTGTGTGTCTGTGTGTGTATGTGTGTGCGTGTCTGTGTGTCTGTGTGTGTCTTTGTGTGTGTGTGTGTGTGTGTGTCTGCGTGTCTGTCTGTGTGTGTGTGTGTGTCATGGGGCCTGAACTCTGGGCCTGGGCACTGTCCCTCAGCTTTCTACCGCTGAGTCATCTTCCCAGCCTGTGCAATCAGTGTGTGTCTGTGTGTGTGTGTGTCTGTGTGTCTGCGTGTGTGTGTGTGTGTCTGTGTGTGTGTGTCTGTGTGTGTGTGTGTCTGCGTGTCTGTGTGTGTGTGTGTGTGTCATGGGGCCTGAACTCTGGGCCTGGGCGCTGTCCCTCAGCTTTCTACCACTGAGCCATCTTCCCAGCCTGTGCAATCAGTGTGTGTGTGTGTGTGTGTGTCTGCGTGTCTATGTGTGTGTGTGTGTCTGCGTGTCTGTGTGTGTGTGTGTGTGTCTGCATGTCTGTCTGTGTGTGTGTGTGTCATGGGGTCTGAACTCTGGGCCTGGGCACTGTCCCTCAGCTTTCTACCACTGAGCCATCTTCCCAGCCTGTGCAATCAGTGTGTGTGTGTGTGTGTGTCTGTGTGTGTGTGTGTCTGCGTGTCTGTGTGTGTGTGTCATGGGGCCTGAACTCTGGGCCTGGGCACTGTCCCTCAGCTTTCTACCGCTGAGCCATCTTCCCAGCCTGTGCAATCAGTTTAAACAAATGGTCTCTAGGAGTCTCCAGAAGCTCCCAATGAACATGAAGCGCCTCCCTGGACAACAGGAAGTGCTCCAGGAAGACAAAGGCTTGTCTGCTGCGGAGGCCCCACTGCCAATCTGGAGCAATTTAATCATCAAAATAATGAAAACTGGCACGGGTGGCTCACGCCTGTAATCGTAGCTCCTCAGGAGGCTGAGATCCGAGAATCGCAGCTCAAAGCCAGCCCAGGCAAGAAAGTTGGTGGGGCTCTGTTAGTCTAATAAGCTAAACTATAGGAAAGGAGCTTATTGGACTAACAGACTCTTATCTCCAAATAATCACCAGAAAACTAGGAGTGGCACTGTGGCTCAAAGGGGGAAGAGTGTTAGCCTTGAGCTCAGGGACAGCAACCAGGCCAAGTTCAAGCCCCCAATGACAAAATAAAAAAAGAGAATGGTGCAGTAAAAAACTCATCAAATAAAACAGAAATCTTTGGGCACAGGAGAGACAAATAAGCAAACATAACCAGTGGAGGAGGAAAAGCTTTGAGAGGGAGGCACTGGTAACATACTACTGCCATGCCAGCATAGTTGGAAGCTGGATGCAAGAGGCCTTTTATTTTTAACACAGCTTAAAAATAACTCCTAAAAATGGTGACTTGCAAAGTCAGCTTACTTTACCCTGGAGAAACTTAGGGGACACCATCTTGTCACAATGGCAAGAACATGACTAACACGCACACCCGGCCACCCAGGGTGAAGACTAAGGAGACACCGAGGCCTGCCAGCACTCAGAGCTCACTTGCAGCGGCCTTTGGACGGGGCAAGAGCCCTGGGAAAGAAGGGGCCCGCGTGCGAGACCCCTTTGCTTTGCACCTCTTCCTCCATCATAGGAGGAGGAGCACTTGCTCTTGGCAGAGACAGTGACTGACTTAAGACAGCGCCAAGGACTCAGAGCCTCAGGCCAGTCTGCCTGGGCAGACCACCAAGCAGAGCAACAGCGCTTGCCCACGACCCTGGCCTCCAGCCCACACAGGCTCAGGCCAAACTGTCCACAGAGGGTTGTGGGGGCCACCGTGGACTCAGGGCCACAAAGCCCACCACACGCACACGGAGAGCTCATCTCTCAGCTCACAGGCTGCTGCCACAGGCTCGTCTTCACTACCTGCTTCTCCCCAGATGCCATTTATCTCCTGCTCCACGGAGGCGGTGGGCAGCCAGGGGCAGGAAGGCGAAGGGCCATGTTTACTCAGTCCTCTAGGCATCTGCCTCTCTCCAAAAGGGCATCAGCCTTGGCCAGAAGCTCCTGTGCAGGCTGGGACCATGTAGGAGTGCCAAGACACCTGGCCTCCCAGCTGCCACACTTCCTGAGGGACTCAGCCACATCCAATGACAAAAAAAAAAGGGTGGCGGGGGGGGGGGCAGTCATGGTCTGTAAAAACCTTTGGCCTCTTCCCAGGTTAGCGCCGAACCTCTCCCATCTGTGACACACGCCTGCTGGCCTGGGTGCAGCTCCACCCTTTCTTCGGCTGTCCCTCATGTATAGTTTCAGATCTGTCTCGTGCTGGGACTCTGCCAGGCACCAACTGCACCACCTGAGCCACAGCTCAGGTACAAATGGCTGCCACCTCGCTGGAGCCTAAGCAGGTTACAGAGAAGGGACAGTGGAGAGCTGGCCCCGGAGGGTCACTCAGCACGTGGGGTATGGCCTCGGGGGTGCACTACCCATCACCGCGGGCTTCCTAGAGGCTGAGCCTTGCCCCAAACTGAACGCACAGAGCAGCAGAACCCCAGCCTTTACAGCACACAGGGACCAAAGAGCAAGCAGGCCCAGGAGTGCCAAGAGGTACGCAGAGCTGGACCCTCACCCTGCCCCACCCTCAGAGCCACGGCCTCAGTGCCACTTCCATCCCCCTGATTCGGTTTGACGATGAGAGGAGCGCAGTGCGCAGGCCTGCTACCCGCTCACCAACCCAGTGCCGTCCACACTGCGGACACATCCACGGTGTCTAGGACCCAGATCATGAAACACACAGGTGAGCCCCAGGAAGCCCAGCAGCTATCTGCCTGCTGAGCGGGGGGGTGATGCCGCAAAGACCAGAAGGTTCTCTCCAGCCCTGAGAGGAAGGGAGCCTGAGGGTTAGCAGCAGCTCCCCACAATTGTGAGGAGGCGGGGCCGGTTGTTAGTGCCCTTGCCTTCAGCTGCCTCCTAGAGCCACTGGAACGGGTTCTCCAGGGACAGAGTGAGGAGAGAGCCACCCGGAGAAGCGGCTGGCAGGGCGCGCAGGCCCAGTGCTCACTGAGAGGGCGGCACAGGCCGCACAGGATGCACAGAGGTCAGTCAGCATGACCTGCCGCGGGGAGCTCAGAGCCCAGCAGCAGAAGCCGGCCCCGCCACGGGGCCAGCTCACCCTTGCAGGGGGCAGCGTGGCTTACTAACCACAGGAGCACTGGCCCAGCCCAGCAAGAGGCAATTCAACCAGACCTGCAAAGCAGCCAGCACCCCCTGACTTTGCATGACCCAGCCTCAGCAACACGCCCTCCTCCGAGGAGCACAGCGACGCCGAGAGCTGCTCTACTTCTACCGCCAGCCTAGAGCAGGTGCCAGCAAGAGGACCCGGCTTCAGGGGCTTCCACCCCGGACCTTCATGCAGCAAACGGGCTTCAGGGGCTGCCACCCCGGACCTTCATGCAGCAAACAGGTGCCATATTGGCTGGCAAGTTCCACCTTCTCTTGTTCAAACACATACTGACCTAGATAGCAATGACCTGACCTAGTGCATGTTGACCCCACAGGCACTGCTCCAGGACAGAGCTCCTGCTCCAGACAGTACCCTCAGCTCCCAGGTGACAGCCTGGTAAGGTGGCACATTCCCTAGGCTGCCCCCTGAGACGCATTCCAGGCAAGGCCAGCACGCAAAGGAGTGTGTTGCAGTGGACGCGGCCCATGAGTGCCTCCATTTCTTCCTGGTATGAATGCAGAATGGCTGGCCTTCACCCTCAAGGGGACACATGCAGCAGCATGGATAACTGCGGCCTGCTCCTGCTCTGTCTCCAACTCCTGAGGAACAGCCCAGCCTGGCAGGGGACATGAGGGGGAGGGGCAAAAAGGCAGCAAAGACCCCTGCTGGGAGAGCTTGCTACCCACATTCCTGCATCCTCTGCTTCCAGCAAATCCAGGGGTGAGGCAGAATGGGCCTTCCTAGTGGGAATTCCTGAGCCCACCACACTCCCTGTCCACCCATGCCAGCAGCTCAGACTCCTATCTGCATCAAGAAAGCCACAGAGTCACCTCCTCCTGACACATTTGGCTGAGAGCTGAACACAGAGTGACATGAAGACCACCAGCCACACTGGCGCTGCTCGGGGTGCGGAGGGGTCACTCGCCGACCACGGGCTATAGCTGGGCCAGCTGTGCCCTCTGCAGAGCAGCCGCCCAGGGCCAGCGACTCCCCACAAAGCTTGCATCTATACATGGAACTCACTTCTCCTACGGCTAACGCACGTCTCCTGCAGCTGTGCTGCGCAGCCCTGGGCCGGGGGTGCTCAGAGACCACAGGCCAGCAGCCCACATGTTCTAGCGCCACAGTGTGAACTATTTGTCAAACATGTTTTCAATCTAGCAATCATGCAAACCTGGGTTTCTGGCCTATCGAAGTATCACAATGGGCCAAACCTGCAGGACAGTAAGCCACCACAGAGCTGCAGTGCAGTGGGTGCTCTGTCCCGTACAGCCCTTCACTCCATGCTTTGCTGCATCTGTGATGCCAACATCTCCCGACCTGGGTGCCAGGGAGGCCTCTAAGAATTTAGGGAATCTAAGGGGAAACAAAGCTTACTTATGAACACAAAATCGGGGACACGTGAGGGCATTGGCAGCAGAGGCTGTGTGTCCAGAGGACGAGACGCCAGCAGGGCTCACAGGCCAAGTCCCTGCCACACAGGGACAGTGTCACCGCCGGAGAGGAATGCCTTTCCCTCTCGATTCCAACAACTGAGATGCTCTCTGACAACAAAACACAGCAGTGCCGCACCTGGGTCTGGGCTACCAGGGCGACACAGCACCTGCTCACAGGTGCTCACCGAAGGCAGGGTACAATGTCACCTGTGCCTCAGAGGCCGCCCTTGCCAGGGTGCCAGGCTCCGGAGCCACGCCCTGCTCCCGCCACTTACCGCAAGGAGGCAGTGCCTACAGCAGGCCTTGGCACACATCCAGCACTCAAATGTGTGCAACCAAAGCTTTTCCAAGGAATCCCTTGCAACTGGAGAACAGCTGTGCCCCGTGAGATGCAGAGCTGCTGGCAGAGCTGGTGGGTAAGCCACAGGGAACGTGCTGTGGCAGGTTCCGCCAGCCACACTCTCCTCAGGGGTTTCTTAGCAATCCTGCGAGTCTAAGAATGAACCTCAAAGCCCTCGGCCTCAGGACACCACACACCTGAGCTCCGAATCATAATTACTTGGAGTTTCTTGCTCTTTTCCTCTTTAGTCTCGTGTACAGCAATCTGTTTGCAACTTGATCAGACACAACCTGAACAGACCATGAGGTAACTTCTGGACCATCTTCTAAATCCCAGCTACAGGTCACCTGCCAGGCGGGACTGCAGCAAGCACTCATCATCAGTCTACAGCCTCCTCCCAACAACCCTAGGAGAAAAGCACGCATAGCCCAGGAGGAAGTCACCGAGCCTGGCATCTATCTGGGACAGAGATGGCAAAACCAAGAGCAGGCCAGGTGCCAGTGGCTCACGCCTGTCATCCTAACGACTCAGGAGGCTGAGATCTGAGGCTGGCAGTTCAAAGCCAGCCCAGGCAGGAAACGCTGTGAGACTCTTATCTCCAATGAAACACCAGAAAACTGGAAGTGGTGCTGTGGCTCAAGCGCCTTGCTTGAGCTGAAGAGCTGAGGGACAGCGCCCAGGCCCAGAGTTCAAGCCCCATAACTGACTGGAAAAAAAAAAAAAAAACAAAAGCAGTTCCTGGCAGGCCTGTTTGCGATATCTGTTTCTACCCCTGGAGCTGGACATGTGTCAGCCTCTGTCTTTTCCCTGGAACAAAGGTTCTACCTCACCCATCACAGAGAGGCCAAACAAAGCTGAGCTCTTCACAGTACAAGTCCTGTGTGATCAGATCCTACCAGCTCCCCAGGAACTAGGAAGTGAGAATGACACTGAGATCTTTTACTGTGAAGTAAACACCAGACACGCACATACACAAGCACCAGCCCAGAGACCCCTGGCCCCGGCGGGATCTTGTCACACCAGAGGGAAAAACTGCCTGACCAAGGGCAACAGGTGAAATCAAACCAAGAAGTAAGGCAGCAGCCATAGCACGAGAACCCACCTGTCCATGAACAGCAGGAGTGCGGGAGAGACAGCCATGGTGTCTACTGGGACCGCGAAGCTCTGGGGGGCCGGGTGCTGGGGCGCCACATTCCTGGCAAGTCACAGTGCCAGGGACAAGCTGGGAGGCTTCCTCCCGCCCACAGGGCCTGAAGGTGAAGGCACACAGAATGAAGATCGGCTGGAAGGGCAGGGGCGGGGCCAAAGAGGAGGGGCAGCAGAGCGGGTGCCCCGGTTCCTGGGCCAGGGTGCAGACTCCAGCACAAGCTGTGATAGGATGGGCACACTGGTCACGACGCCCACTGGCACCTCCCACTGGGAAGCAAGGCAGCATCGCACCAAGCGCCAGCCCCACCACACCTGTTAAGCACACACCGCGCCGCGCAAGCCATTGCACAGGGGCATAGGGGTGGGTCACACACATGGTCCAAATGCCCACAGAAGCCCCACTGCCAGGTGCTCCCTTGCTCACCACTGCTTTAAAAAGCAACAACAAAACAGATTGGGAGCACAGGCCTATATCTGTAATCCCAGATACCTGGGAGGCAGTAATGGGAGAATTACAGTTCAAGACCAGCCAGGAAGTTACCCAGCCCCTAGGTCAAAGAACAAGAAAGGTAAGGCGGTACCCACTTGTAATCCCAGCTACACAGAAAGTACAGGCAGGAGGATCGCAGCTGAGGCTGGCCAGAACCCAAAGTGCAAAACCATACCTGAAAAATAGTTCAAGCAAAAACAGCTAGAGATAGGGCTCTGGTGTAAACAGCTTTTCTGGCCAGCCCAAGACTCTGTGTTCAAAGTTCAGTATCACCAAAAACAAAAACAAAAAGAAGACCTCACTAGCAAGTTCAAGCCCAGCAAAATGATCATTTTAAGAACACCTGCAGTCTACACACCAAAAATGACCCTAGCCAGGGCCTCTGTGTTTCCAAGTCAGCTCCAGGGCTCTTTAACAGAGAAACCCTGTGTCCGTGTGCTTGTGTGCTAGGATGGCCAGCCCATGGCTGGGTGTGGGAAGAGAAGGGGATGGCTGCCAGGCGTGGGCAGCTCTCACGGGTAATCCTACTCAAGCAGCTGAGAGCTGAGGATCAAGGTTCAAACCTAGCCTGGGCAAACAAATCTAAGAGACTCTTACTCCAATTACCCAAAAAACATGAAGCGGAGGTAAGGCTCAAGTGGTAGTAGGTCAGCCTTGAATAAAAAAGCTAACCAAGCCGGGCGCTGGGGGCTCACGCCTGTCATCCTAGCTACTCAGGAGGCTGAGATCTGAGGATCTCGGTTCAAAGCCAGCCCGGGCAGGAAAGACCCTGAGACTCCTATCTCCAATAAACCACCAGAAAACCGGAAGTGGCGCTGTAGCTCAAGTGGTAGAGCACTCGCCTTGAGCTGAAGAGCTGAGGGACAGCGCCCAGGCCCAGAGTTCAAGCCCCACGACCGCCAAAAAAAAAAAAAAAAAAAGCTAACCAAGAGTTTGAGGCCCTGAGTTCAAGTCCCAGTGTGTGTGTGCATGTGCGCGCGCACATACACACAGAGGACTGTTACTGCTACTTTACACATTTCTGAATTTGTATACGTATGTGTATATATTACTCATAGTTGTTTTTATTTTTAGTTGGTGGTGGGGCTTGAACTCTGGGCCTGGGTGCTCCCTGAGCTCTTAGGCTCAAGGCAAGTGCTCTATCACTTGAGCCACAGCACCACTTCTGGTTTTCTGGTGGTTAATTAGAGATAAGAATCTCACAGACTTTCCTGCCTGGGCTGGCTTCAAACCATGATCCTCAGACCTCAGCCTCCTGAGTAGTAGGTGACAGGTATGAGCCACCGGCACCCGGCTTATAATTTTTTTTTTTAATGATAATCAGTAGAGACAAGGCTGGCCCAGGAGAAGTGCTGTCCATCCATACAAGTAAGTTTGATTAATCGGCAGAGAAAATTTGAGTGGAACTCTGTGGGAACTTAAGACAGGGAAGCACTTCCTGGCTTCCCAGCCCATGGTAAGAGACCAACACAGGCCTTCCTTTGGCTAGAACCAAAAAGAAAGTTCCAGCCTATGCTCATGAATGTAGACATAAAAGTCCCCAACAAGGGGCTGGGAAGGTACTCAGTGGTAGAGTGCTTGCCTTGCATACCTGAGGCCCTGGGTTCGATTCCTCAGCACCACATAAGCAAAAAGAAAAAAAGCCAGAAGTGGCGCTGTGGCTCAAGTGGTAGAGTGCTAGCCTTGGGCTGAAGAGCTGAGGGACAACGCCCAGGCCCAGAGTTCAGGCCCCATGACTAATGAAAAAGGAAAGAAAAGAAAGATTGGGGGCTATGGTGGGGGAAAATCCTACCTGTAATCCTAACTATTTGGGAGGCAGTGGTAGCAAGATAGCAACCCAAGACTGGCCCAAGCCAAAGTATGAGACCCTATCTGAAGAGCAAAGTAAGAAAAAACAATGAACAAGGCAGAGCTCAAGTGGCCCTGAGCTCAAGCCAAAAAGAAAAAAGCCCGAAAGAAATTTTGATCACTAAGAAAACAAAACAAGGCTAGTCAGTGGCTCAAACCTGTCACGAAGGCTAATTTGAAGACAAAGACAAAGAGTATCGTAATTCAAAGCCAGCCTAGCCAAAAGGTTAACAAGATTCCATCTCAACAAACAAGGTAGGTGTAGTGAATTATGCCTGCAATGTCAGCTATGCAGGAAGTGTGGGTAAGAGGCCTGTAGTCCAAAGCCAACCCAGGAAAAAGAGGGCAAAAAGCAAAATACTATCTGAAAAATAACAACCTAAAGCAAAAAAGGCTGAAGGCTTAACTTTTGAGCACTTGCTAGTAAATGTAAGACCCTGAGTTCCAACCCCAGAATAATTAAAAAAAAAAAAAGGAGAGACAGATGATAGACAGACTGACAGATGATAGATAGATAGATTGACAGATGATAGAAACATATATACATTCTGTGGGTATACTCAATCTACACACACACATGGAGAGGACTTGCACTGTGAGTACACGTGGGAAGCAGTCCAGCCCTGACAAGCAGTTGGGCAGCATCTACAAGAGCAGACTCTGAAAGTGCACCCAAGCATATATGTGCAGAGGACTATGATCCATCGGCATGGTCCTTCTCCATGAAAATGCCCAACCCAGGACACAGAGAGTGGTGGGCCTGAGAGTATACTATATGATCTCAAGTCCAAAACTGAAGAGAGCTGGGTCTCAGCAGTCAGTGGGCAGGCGGGCAGGAGCCTCAGCACACAGGTGGGGAGGTCAAGCATTATCAGCTCCAGCCATCTCCTCCGCAGCCTTTCCAGGCGTGGCTGCCCTCCCCACAGTCCCAGGCTCCCAAAGCACTTCCGCCTTCCTCTCCCGCACAGCACTGGCACATTGTGTTTTACCTCCCACCTCCCACAACCTGCTGCCAGAGCTATGCCCACTTAACTCTCTGTGACCCCCACCCCCCAGGCCCAGCACTGCAACCACAGGTCACTCATTAACTAACCCTGAATCGACTCCTCTACCAGTCCCTCACCCGTCCTTACCAAGTTCTTTCTCCCGTCCTCACCAAGGCCCCCTGTTCTCTCACCCGTCCTCACCAAGGCCCCCTGTTCTCTCACCCGTCCTTACCAAGGCCCCCTGTTCTCTCACCCATCCTTACCAAGGCCCCCTATTCTCTCCCGTCCTTACCAAGGCCCCCTGTTCTCTCCGGTCCTTACCAAGGCCCCCTGTTCTCTCTCCCGTCCTTACCAAGGCCCCCTGTTCTCTCACCCATCCTTACCAAGGCCCCCTATTCTCTCCCGTCCTTACCAAGGCCCCCTGTTCTCTCCCGTCCTTACCAAGGCCCCCTGTTCTCTCCGGTCCTCACCAAGGCCCCCTGTTCTTTCTCCCGTCCTTACCAAGGCCCCCTGTTCTCTCACCCATCCTTACCAGGGCCCCCTGTTCTCTCCCGTCCTTACCAAGGCCCCCTGTTCTTTCTCCCGTCCTTACCAAGGCCCCCTGTTCTCTCTCCCTCCCCCACCTCCTTGCGTCTCCCCAAACTCCTGTCATGTAAACACAGGAAGGAGAAGTGTGTGGGGCTTGGGTGTTCCACAAGAAGAGAGAAAAGGTAGAGCAAAAATGTCCAGGTAGCTTAACATGAACCATTACTGAGGCAAAATACGAAAGTATTCTTAATTTCCAAATAAATACTGAAAAAAAAAAGAGGGGAAGGAGACAGAGCCATTAACAGGCTGGAGGCCCACAGGACAGGGACCACCTTCCAGGGAAGGAACATACTGTGTCCCTTCATCCCAGAAACCCTGAGGAGTAAAGATCTGGATCCCAGCGTTGAGAGCACAACTAGAGTCCAGGTGCTGTGGTTCACGCCTGTAATCCTAGCTACTCAGGAGGCTGAGATCTGAGGATCACGGTCCAAAACCAGCCCGGGCAGGAAAGTCTGTGAGACTCTTATCTCCACTGAACTACAAAAAGCCAGAAGTGGAGCTCAAATGGTAGAGCACTAGCCTTAAGCACAGAAGTTCAGGAACAGGGTGCTGGGAAGGTGGCTCAGTGGTAGAGTGCTTGCCTTGCATGCATGAGGCCCTGGGTTCGATTCCTCAGCACCACATAAGCAAAAAAAAAAAGAAGTAGTAGTTCAGGAACAGGGCCCAGGCCCAGAGTTCAAGCCCCAGGACAAGGAAAAAAAAAAAAAAGGGTACCTGGAATGTGGACTCCAGCAGAGCACGGCTCAGGTGCCAGCTCCACCTCCCACTGCCAGGGCTTGGGTCCGCCAGGGTTCTGTATTAATAAGTAACACGAAGGAAGGGCGGTTTATTAACCTCAAAACACCAAGGGTCTCATCTCAGTGTTATGCACATTCACATATGCTGTTTACTCAGTAAATACTCACTGAGAATCAACTGCACCCTGGGCACCGTGCCACACCTGGGGAGCACCACCATTGAAAGGTAGTCCCCTTCTCAAGTGACGTGGGTAAGCCTCCATCCTTCATGATGTTCTCAAAGATGGGGAAATTCCAAGGTTTGACCTTGTCTGACATCATGCCACAAAGAGAAAGCTGGAGCTGGACTTCAATCCGAAAGAGAAGCTGGAGCAAGTGGGTCTGTTCTCAGGAGCGCTGGAAAGTCCTGACGCCCATGTCTTGCCCAAACCAATTACCATCAACTTCTGAGGGCAGCAGTTATCAACAGCTGG